AGAGTAGAACCACTGATGCGGTAATCCAATCGGATGGAATGTTCACTTCCTTCAAGCAGCGTAAAAATATGTGCTAATATTCTGATATTCTGCTCCATGAGTTCCACTGTAATTCCATCCTCGCCAATGCCTTTCATCTCTCGCCTGTCTTGCTGCATTTCACACCTCTTTTGCATTTCGTCTACTTTATCTGTTTCTTCAAGTTCCATATCGTCGCTTAGGGTGCTACTGTTTTCATCGTTTCTTGTACAGTTTCCTAAAGAGGATTTTCTCCCTTTTTAGAATATCTTGTCTAGCCGCGATGACGGTCTCGTTTTTTGCTTTTAGAGCCAAAACGTGTCATTTGCCGACCGTCAATTTTCAGATTAATTTCTTCATGCTTCCGTTGTTTTCAATAGTTTCTTTTGCTAATCTGCAGTTGAATGCTTGGACGTCTTCTTTTATACGTTTCCTTAAAGTTATTGAGTTCCTCGTATTCGATCTTTGATTTCTGATCTGTTGCTGTCTTTATTTCTCTTCGTTTCTTCTAGAGTTCTTTCGTCTGCTTCATGATTTTTCGATCGACCTTCATGGACCTTTTGGACACACTTTCCGCCATTTCTATAACTGTCTGCTTTATAGCCTGATGCATTTCATTGATACTCACTGTCGCTTATGCTTCGTTTTCTTATATATCGTGCTAGTTCGCAAGCACTGTTGCTGACAGTGGTCCAGTCGAGCTTCACAGCATTTAAGAAGTTTTTTCTAGGTTATACATGAATGCCGCCAATACGACTTCTTTGAAAATAGTAATCTTCGCTTCTTTTTGTACGCTGATCTTTCCATATTTGCTAACTTCCAAACTCTCGCTGACGTCAGTGTGACTCGTCAGCATATTAAAGGAACTGTACCGTTATTATTAACCATGACTCCTCCAACGTGCTTGAAATGGTCGAATTTCTTCATCGTTGAACCATTCCATTTTATCTTCGGGTTATTGTTCATAACGGGCGCTTTGAATGAACGAATTGATCAATCAATTAATGAATGAAGTAGTTAATGAATGACTGAACGAATGTGTGAACAAGTGAATGA